TTTTCATAAATTCTTTGCCTAGGCTTATATCTAGAAGAGTTTTTCCTACATTTTCCTTTAGAATTCTTATGGTTTCATACTGTAGATCTAAGTTTTTTATCCATCTTGAATTAATTTGGTGACAAGTAGAGGTCCTGTTTTCATTCTTCTGCATGTGGCTATCCAATTTTCCCAGCACTAATTATTGAATAGGGCTTCTTTTTCCTAGTGTATGTTGTTATCTGCTTTGTCAAAAATCAGTTGATTGTAGGTAGATGGTTTTATGTCTGGGTTCTTTGTTCTGTTTCATTGGTCTATGTATTTTTGTACCAATATAATGCTGTTTTGGTTATGATAGCCTTGTAGTATAGCTTGAAGTTTGGTAATGTGAAGCCTCCAGATTTCTTCTTTTTGCTTAAGTTTGCTTTGGCTATTCAGGCTCTTTTCTGCTTCCCAACAAAGCACAGAATCATTTTTTCTAGATCTGTGAAGTATGACTTTGGTAACTTGATGGGGATTGCATTGAATTTGTAAATCACTTTAGGTAGTGTGGACATCTTAACAATGTTGATTCCATCTATCCATGAGCATGATATGTTTTTCCATTTGTATCCTCTGAAATTTCTTTCCTTAGAGTTTCATAATTCTCCTTATATTGATATTTCACCTCCTTGGTTAAGTATATTTCTAGGTATTTTATTTTCTTTGTAGCTATTGTGCATGGTATTGAGTCTTTGATTTGACTCTCAGCTTGACTGTTATTAGTATAAAAATGTTACTGATTTATGTATATTGATTTTTGTATCCTGAGACTTCACTGATTTTATTTATCAATTCCAGGAGTGTCCTGGGAGAATCATTGGGGTTTTCTAGAAACAACATCATATCGTCAGCAAAGAGCAATAGTTTCACTTATTCTTTCCCTATGTGGATATCCTTGATTTCTTTCTCTTGCCTGATTGCTCTGGCTAGGACTTCCAGCACTACGTTGAATAGGAGTGGTGACAGCGATTATATGAATATATATAAAATATATTTTATATTGATTTCACATACCATACAATTCACCCATGTAGTATACAATTTAATAGCATACAGTATATTCACTAGTTGGATATCCTCCTGGAAGACTTCTTTGGTGGAGACCCAGAAGGTAAGAAAGGGAGTGATGAGCTACTTCTAGACAAGACTGCTGATGCCTACCTTCATCCCTCCTCCACTTGGAGGCTGGTAACATAAACACATAAATCTACAAAGGAAGATCCATGGGAGACCAGGAAGCCCGGTTCCCCTGCTCAGGCAGGAAGGTAGGGGCATGTGCTCCATTTTCTGCAAGTCAGGGGGGGGGGGAGGAAGGAAGAAGGGAAAGGGGAGGGACCTCAGGGGGCCACCACGTAACTCAGGAAGTCCTGGGAGTTCAAGGCATGGGGGACCAAGCTCGGAAGGTGAGAGGGACCCTATCTATGGTCACCCAGGAAAACTATGGAACCTGTAACATTCCTGTAGGAAACAAGACAATGAGTTTGAAGTGACAGGAGAGAAAAAAATAATAAAATTTTTTTCTCCTTGGAAGACTTTCAATAAACCTCATATTTGTTACTCAAAACCCACTGAGACTCAGTTTCCTCCTCTATAAAATGGAGATAATAATAGTAGCTATCTCATAGGGCTTCCAGAATAATTTGGAGATGATAATAAAGCACTTAGCACATAGAAGGCTCTCAGTAAGTGTTGTTACTCCATTTCTTTCCCCAAAATTGGGATATCGTATGAACAGTTTGTATTCTGTTTGTTAAGGGTTTTATTCCGTTTGTTACTAGATTAAACCATATGAAATAACAGATATTCAACCATTTTATCATATAGAAATAGCAATTTAATATGTTTTGATATAATGTATCAGGTGTGTTTTTCATATTATGAAATACACTTTGAAAAAATGATTTTTAATGACTGCACATTATTCCATCATATGAATAAACTCTGATTTACCCAGTTCTACTCCCTCTTTTAATACATCTAGGTTGTTTCTAATTTTTAATTGTTTTCTACTGGCTTCTAACTAGACTATGTCATTTGAAATCTATTAATGAGATTTAAAATAATGTGTTGTGTGGTGTATGCATCATATAATTTTCCACAAGTGTTAATGAATATTTTTTTTCTAGCCCACAGGGCCTCTGATTATTCTTGCCTGGCCCTCTTCACCCCAGCCACCTCTGCCCAGCCAGCTGGACTGGCCCTCCCTCTGCTTCTTTCCAGCTTCATTGTGTCCTCACTAAAACCACAGGAAGTGGGGGTGGGGGAGTCTAGTACTCTGGGCATAGCCATAGAACTATCTTTCCAAGGCTCTTGTTACCCGTACATGGATCTGGCATGATTAGTGAGGTGCACTCAAAATGCAATTTTATTATTCTGTCTCCCACTCTACCTGAGACAGTAGAGGAAGTATTACCCTTGCCTTTGAATGAAAGCTAAGAGAAGTCCACGGCCTTTCTGACCACTGTTAGATATGCAAAGCCCTGTGGTTACTTGAAGCCATCCATCTTAAATTCAAACTTGAAATGTTTGGCCCAACACATTAATAAACACTTCAGTCACCTCCTTTCCCTCTCCCCTCCCCGACCAAGCTAAGGCTGGTTGCAGGTGAGTACCCTGCCTTGGGGAGGGGATATGCTCTTTCTTCTCCTTTCCTGCCCGTGCTGTTTCTGAAGGCTCCTGGCAAATCCCAGAGGGTGCAGTAAGGAAGGAGTAGAGATCAGGGAAAGAAAGCCCCTACTTGTGACATGGTGGTGGGCAGGCACTACCGGCTTGGCAGATACTTCTAGCAGATTCTTTTCCTGGTGGGGTTTTCATTGTCTCCTACTGAGCCACCTACTCCTACACCCACTCAAGGTGCCTCTGCTTCAACCAGCCACTCCAGAACCCTCTCCTCAAGTTTGGAATCCCTCACAACTCTTACTGCTGAGCAGTCCTCACCCTGGCAGGTGACTCTCTTAGACAAGGCCTCTTTTAAATGACCTCATGCCTTCCTCCTATCCAGGCTCCACATCCAGGGCCCAGAACCCCGGGCTGTGGACCGGTCAGGCCAGCAGAAGGAAGGGTATGGTTTCCCAGGCACTGCCCCCATGTGTGTGCCTGGGGCTCTTTGGCTCTCTCTAGCCTACGCCAGGCAGCAGGCAGGGACACTGGGCAAGCCCCTCAACACGTGGTGGCTTTTCCCCACACCTCTCTCTCTCTCCACATACTCAGCTACTTTACATCTTCACTTATACATAAGATCCTTTATATCTCCTCTAACCAATTCTCAAGTCACACTCTCCCATTCACAATAACACCATGTTAGGTGGTGGCTGTCTTTCATTCAGTTCTCTACTGGCTGTGGCTCCGAGTCCTTGAGCTCTAATACCGCTCTGCCACTCATGCACTGATCTCTGAACGCATAGATCTACGAAGGAAGCTCCGTCTTTGAAATAATCCTTCTGCCAACTAAATTAACTTCATCAAACACAAACCATTTCTTTTCAAATTAATTCCTCTTTGCATCTGGAATTCTCCGGCTTTAGGTTTTCTTGGAGCAGGGGAAAGGGGAAATTGAAAACTTCCTAGGAGGAGGGATTAATTACTTCTGTTGTTACTTGCCTTTTTGACGAAATGACTGTTATTGCAAGCAGAACTTCTCCTTCGTAAGCGCTGCAGGCGTATGAACCCACGTGTCTGCCACGCGTGACCTGAGGGTAGCGGAGAGCAAAGCCCAGGGGAAGAAAGCTGACCCCGGGTTGACACAGGAGCCAAGGATCAGGGGACAGAAAGGCCAACGTTTCCGAAGGCTACGGAGAGCACACGGGGACCGGGGCCAGGGATCGCACGCCGGGCAAGGAAGGAGGAAGGAGACCGGAAAAGAGGCGGGCGCGCTGTTGCTAAGGCGCTGGCTGTGGGGGCTCCGTGGTCCAGAGAGCCACGCCGCTGCCTCTGGCACTTCTCCTTCAAGGGGCAGCGTCTGTGCTCCCAGCCAAATGACAAGCAAGTGAGAATGCACTCGACACTCAAGTACTCACAAAATGTACTTCCCATAACCCTCTCTTAAGAATTTACTTGAGCTTTTCAGCCGGAGCCGCCATCTTCCAGTAATTGGCCAAAATGGCGAACACAGAGGGAAAGAGGAGAGGCGCCCATACGCGTTCTCCACGCCTTTTGGAGAACACGGAGTTGTTCCTTCGGCCACATACCTGCGACTCTACAAGAAAGGGGATATCGTGGGCATCAGCGGAATGAGTGCCGTTCAAAAGGGAACGCCCCCCAGATGTCACCATGGCAACACTGGAAGAGTCTGCAGTGTTACCCAGCATGCTGTTGGAATTGTTGTAAGCAAACAAGGGCAAGATTCTTGCCAAGAGGATTAATGTGCGCACTGAGAATATTAAGCACTCTAAGAGCTGAGATAGCTTCCTGAAATGTGTCAGGGAAAATGATCAGAAAAAGAAGGAAGCCAAAGAGAAAGGTACCTGGCTTCAGCCGAAGCGCCAGCCTGCTCCACCCAGAGCAGCACACTTTGTGAGAAGCGATGGAAAGGAGCCAGAGCTGCCGGGACCTGTTCCCTATGAGTTCATGGCATAGGAGGATGAAACTAATAAAAGGTGCTGGACTCCAAAAAAAGAAAAGAAGAATTTACTTGAGGATGAGTTCCAGCAAAATAAGGAAATAATCTAAGAGGAAGATGTAAGATCTCGGAAACAGAAGATTCTACCCAAAAGAGGGAATGTCACAGAATGAGAGCTGTGCATTGGTCCTGGGATAGAAAAACAGAAAGCCCCAAGACACAGGTTCAGGGGAAAGCATCACAGGGGCTGGGGGTGGGGCTGAGGTGGGGCTAAGGATTCCAGAATATAGTATACTTGAGAGTTTGGTATATTTATTATAAGCCTTTCCATACTATTTGATTTTTCCAATCACATCTATTATTACTTTATACAAATTAAAATTATATTAATAAAAAATAAAATACTGTTGGTATCATTAATGGTCCAGATGTAGCCATTGAGTCATCTGAGAAATGGTTTGTGTTTGGGGACCTTGTTAATGATAATTGCTATGCAGGTTAGGGTTAGACTAATTACAGACTGACGATGCAATGATCTAAATTGGCTATTAAGATAGAAATAAACTTACCAAGCCGAAGACAGGCTTTAAAATGAAAATTAAAATCTGTGTTTTAAGCTTTAATTAGCATATATATTGATGTCATTATAACAAAGAAAATATTTATGACCTGGTTATGATGCAAAGAGCTTTGAACCAGGAGGCCACCAACGTTCTACTCCAAACGTCATCACTAACTCACCATGTAACCTCGGAAAATGCCTAGCTGCTCTGTTCTTCAGTTGCAACATTTATGAAATGGAATTCTTCCATTTATACCACACGTATGTGCTATCGGCTGGTAGACAACACTGTGCTAGACCCTGGGGTGGCAACAGACAGCAAACCTCACTGAGCCCCATTCTGATGGAGGGGGCAGACAATAGGCAACTGTAGAAGTATGTGACACAATACACTAGAAGGGGACAGGTGCCATGGAGAAAAGTGAACCACAAAAGTGCAAGAAGGAGCAATGGAGTGGGGGGTGCAGTTTTAAATAAGGAAGTCAACAAGGAGGCCTTGTTGAGAGAAAAACATCTGAACAGAGTTGAAGGAGATGAGAACAAGATATGCCAACCCCTGGGAAAAGACTATTCCAGGTGGAGGGAATACTATGAACAGATCCAGTGACATGGAAACTTGCCTGGTCTGCTGTAGGGAGAGCAAGGAAGCCCCTGAGACCGAAGCAGAGAGTTGGAGAACGGGAGAGGAAGTCAGAGATGTGACGGAGGCCAGGGCATAGGGCCTGGAAGCCCAGGATGGGGACTTTGGCTTTTACTCTGATCTTGATGCAGCGGGGAATTTTAAGCAGAAGAGGAGGATGATCTGACTTTTGTTTTAAAAAGGCTCACTCTGGCTGCTGTGTGGAGCATGGGCTGTAGGAGACAAAAACAGAAGAAGAGACACCAGGTAGGAAGTTTCTGCCATAATCAAGGTACGAGGGGTTGAATTGTGTCCCCTCACCACCACCACCAGATTCATATACTTCATGTACTTCAGAATGCAGCTTTATCTGTAGATAAAAGTCTTTACAGACATAACTAAGTTGAGGTCATTAGAGTGGGCCTTAATCCAATATAAGGACTGCTGTCCTTACAAAAAGGGGAAATTTGGAAATAGGTACGCACACAGGGAAGATGATGTAAACAAACACAGGTAGAAGATGGTTTCTACAAGCCAAGGACAGAGGCCTGGAGCAGAGCCTTCCCTTAGGGCCCTCAGGAAGAACCAACCTTGTCAATACCTTTCTGGACTTCTGGTCTCCAGAATTTGAGTTAATAAATTTCTGTTGCTTAAGCTACCCAGTTGGTAGTACTTTATTTTGGCAGCCCTAGCAAATAACACAACAGGTAAGACACATAGTGGCTTGGATCATGGAAGTAAGAGTGGAAGTGTTTAGATTCTGGATATATTTTGCAAGAAGAGTCAACAGGATTTCCTGACAGGTTAGAAAGAGAGTATGTGGGAAATGGAGGAATCAAAGTTGACTTCAGGGTTTGGGCATGAACAATGAAAGGGTGGAATTCCCAGACTGGGATGGGGAAAGCAGAGGTGAGAGCAGGTTTGTAGGTGGGTGTGGGCAGAGAGCCCAGGAATTCCGTTTTGGATTTGTTATTAGAGATAGAATCAGAGATAATTATGACACCATTGTGAGAATCCGATGAATTCAGTACATATTTGTTACATGTTTACTGTGTGTAAAGCACTGAGGCAATTTTAATTAGTAGATATTTTAAAATGTTAAAAAGTCTGTTTTATAGAAACATAAACTACAAATTATATGAGTAATTTGTACAACCTCAAAATGGTGAAAACACAATTAAGAAGTGGCATAGGCTATGCATGGCTTGTCTATAAAGTAATCAGAGTTTCTTTACTGGATTGGTAATTTCCCCTATAGATAATTTCATAGTTGTGGTTTTCAAGAGGATAATGACAAGTCATTACTTTGAAATACTCTGAAATACTCATTTGAATTCATAAGCTCCATGGTGTAGTATGTCTCATTTCAGTCCGTTTTATTTCTACAAAGATGTGTGTGTGTATACACACACATGTGCTTCTTGGGATCAAGAACCAGAAAGATCTAAATTCAAATTCTGGCTCTGACACCAGCTATTTGAATGTGGCAAGTTACTGTTTAAATCTTGGTTCCTTTCTTTATCTGTAAAATGGCAATAAAAATACCTCATAGAATTGTTGTGAGGAGTGACTAGGCGACACTCTAGAGTATATATAGAGTATACACTGTATATAGAGTGTATACTGTATATATAGAGTATACACTGTGTAACGTGCTCACTCTAGTGATCAGTTCACAGCAAGTGCTCAGTGAAGCTATGACTGACTGGTAAGTCTCTGATGGTGCTGTAGGAATTCATTGAGGCGAGTAAGCAATCTTTGTATGGTCAGAAAAAATACAGGACAGGCAGCTTTGAGGCTGAGACTTAAAGCAGGACGGAGAGTTACACAGGCAACAGAGACCAATACTTCTCACGTTTTAGCATGGGTTCCAATCACCCAGGGATCTTACTAAAATGCAGACCATGGGTCAGGAGGTCTGGGGTGGGCCCTGAGATTCTGCGTTCCTGACAAGCTCCCAGCTGATGCCTGTGCAGCCACCTGGCCCACACTTTGACTAGAAAGAGCCAGATGACAAGCAAGTGGAATGGTGTGAACTGGCCCTAGGAGAGTAGATAAGACAGTATGTTGGGTGACACAGTCAGTCTGGCCGAAGTAAAGTTAACATCAGAAAATACTGAGGAAAAGTTTGGAAATAGGACGAAGCCACATTCTGGCGGGCTGTGAAGGGCTCGCTGGTTTTACACTTCCTTGTGTTGTGGTGGTTTTTCATAATTCCCCTGCTGGCTCCTTTCTACCATTATTCATCTTCTGAAAATGGCAGGTCTATCCAGGCCCTCTATTTACAATATCCACGACATTGTAAGGGAAATTGGCTACTTTGAATTGAATTGAAGCTGGCAGCTTCAATTTGGGTTTCACAATACACTGTCACAGAGGGGGGCACACCCAATGCTGTTTTTGTGTCCCCCTGCAGAGCAAGAGGTCAGCATGGCTCACAGTAACACCTGTCACAGGTTCTCCAGAGACCCACCTGGTGTTTCTCTCAACTGAATTCAGTCACCAACTGCAAGTGGGTTGTGTAGCTGTTTCCTCTTGGTGATTTCTCACTTCCGGATTGTGTCTCTCTCCGTTTAGAAAATTCATTCTTGAGTTGGAGAGATCTGTTGCAACTGCTTTTGAAATTCACCTGGTTCTAGTCCAAAAATATCTGGCAGATATTCTTCCCAATTTGTGGCATAAACAAATGCTTGTTTATGAATATGAAGTTTTCTACTTGTATCAACCCTTTAGTTCTCAACAGTTGCAATAGTATGGAAAGTAAAAAGGCTTCTGGTTTAGAAAGTGAAATAATCAGGACTCTGTGAAGGTAGGTCGTCCATATCCCAGGTAATTTGAAAAATAGCATCACAGTGATGATGGCGGGAACAAGGGTTTGTGGCAGGAAAAGAGAAGATGAAGTCGTTGGAAATGCAAATAATTGATAATTAGAGATCATGATTAGAGTTCAGAAGTCAGTAATGGAAACAGACAAGGCAGGGTGTGGTGGCATGTGCCTGTAGTCCCAGCCACTCAGGAAGCTGAGGCAGGAGGATTGCTTGAGCCCAGGAGTTCAAGGCTGCAATAAGCTATGATCATACCACTGCACTCCAGCCTGGGTGACAGAGTGAGACCTTATTTCTTAAAAAAAAAAAAAAAGGAAATAGACTAGGAATTACGTTTTAGAGCTGAAGCTATGTTAGCAACTTGTAGCACAATAGAGAATTTTTCTTGAAAGCACAGACACAGTATTAGTCTTATCTACAGTATAATCAAGTTGGGCCATTTAAAACAATAAGCTCAAGCTTAACAGGAGAAGGTAAGGCAAGAAGACAGAGCTTGGTCACAGATTCACATTTGATTGAGATCACAGACTGAGACACAATAAACAGGAATCAAAACAAAATCAGCTGGCAAGCTGAACTACAGTGTGGGACAGGGGGAAAGGTCAGGGATTTGAGAAACCACCAAGGGTGGACACTAGAAGATGGCAACATAGCTTGGATATTCCCTACCCTTGACCCATAAATATCTCAGTGATACAGATATCTGTAACTTAGCTTTTCAGTTAAATATGTTTTCTTTAAAGACCAACTATTACCCTCTTGTCCAAAAGTGGGCAATGATCTCCACTAATTGAATTGATGACATATGCTTTAATAGTTAAAGGCTATCAATTATAACTATCATTTGTAGTGTGCTTTATCATTTACAAAGATTTTTTAACACATACTATCATAGTTTGACTGACTACACTTGGAGTTTTTTGTGTTTTTTTTTTTATAAATTACTTATTCCTATTTGACAGATGAGGAAACTGTAGTGCAGATAGGTAAATGACTTGCCTAAGAATTACATTGTGTGGAATGTAGGAGAGCCAGTAGAATAAAGGCTCTATTATTTATCTTTTATCTGTACATATTCCTTTACAATGGAGTAAAATGTTCATCTATGCCTAAAGTTTCAATAAATGCCTTTCTCATATATGTGATATCATTCAAATGTATATGGAGAGGAATAAAAACTTACTGAGCATGGCAATCTAAAGATACCATCTAAATTGAGGTACAGTCAAAAATACCCTTGATAAAAGGTAGATTTATAAAATGTTATTCATTCCACACAAGATTCATTGCATTTTGTTTAAATGTTTGCCTTTTATATACTTATCCAATCTTATACTATGTGTTGCTGTGATGGTTAAAGAAGATAACAGAGTCAGATCTTTCAAAGGAAGCAGTTTTTAAAATCAGTGTAATGACATGGCTCTATTGAAGTATCATGACTACCTATATCTATATAGAGACACATAAATTTTCTCAAGGAATAATAAAAGTACAATTATTATTGTGCATTAGTAATTGTTTTATGCCTTTGAAAGAGGACAACAAAAGTTGATAACTCTTACATTAATTAACAATGCCAATTAAGGATTGAACGAAGAAAAGCCACCAGTGAAAATAAGAGACATTCAGAAAGGTAGAAAGAAACCTTATTAGAATAGTGTCCCAGGGACCAGTCAAAAAGCAAGCATACAGAAGTCATGAAGAGGGCTTTGAAAAAAGTCATCGGCAATCTCCAGTAACAGTTCCACAAAATGAGTTGCTCTATATTGGGCTGGCAAGCTGAAGTCCTAAGGAACTGAAGTGATTCCAACTTACGAAATGAACAGTAGTAACATAATGACATGCTAAAGATAATAGCTTTTTAAAAAGCAGCTCAAGAAGGCTCAAAAATGATAGATTAATAAGCACAGGCTTAGAAAACTTTCATCCCTTAAACAAAATGAGTACTGGAATCAGGGAAGGATACAACTGGATCCAGACAGATTATTTGCAACTACCCTCCTAATAAAATGATGGAAGATAATATAAACAAACACACACTCTCCAGATTAATCCACAATGATAAGAAAAAGAAATTCAGAAATCATGATGAATTCTGGAAAGAAAAGTAAATCTTTCAAAAGAATTATATCCACAACACATGCTGGAGAAAAGTGTTGCCAGGGTAAAGTTGAGATGTGGAAGACAGCTGGCTCTAAAATTCTAACAAGAGTTCTAGAAGTAGAACAGAGAAAATTAAGGAAAAGAAATAAAGATAGCTATATGCTGTTTTCAAATCAATGTAAACCAAAATGACACACAAAAGTTATAAATAAGGAGTATTATCAAATACTAACAAAAACTGTAGCAAAATTAAGATCAAACACACAGAATTCAATAAAAAGCATTAAAAGGAAAAAAATATAAGCGCAACACCACAAATTAACCAACCATAAAAGAAGC